GTTCCAAACCCGTAAGACATTCGTTCATCTTCAGAACACAAATTAAGATATTTTTGATGAAATCCAAGAGCTCGCTGACTCTGCATAGACAGCAACGCAACTGACACGTTCAAGGCCCAGAAAGGTAGTAAGGACATTGTTAAAATAGTCCTTCATAATTTTACGAAGCTACAAGAATAAAAAAAATTATAATAATAATGACTTTTTTCAACAATTCTTTTCCTCTGCATCACCCCTAGGCACCATTATGAAGAGGTCTTTGCACACTGAGTCTGAAATTCTCATCTGAAATTTTTGCACGTTAAAAAATAAATACGTTGTGTCAATCACACTGCCTCCGAAACTTTCGTCCGTCACAAAAAAATTCGGATCAGGTTCGATTTTCTGCATTTTCGCATCTGTATCAAGCATTTTGATAGGAAAGGATGACGAATACGACAATGCATACGAACATTTCTGTCTCAGTGTGCAAGGACCTTAACAGGTCTCAGTAACTCTCGGATTTCATCAAAAATATCTTAATTTGTGTTCTGAAGATGAACGAAGGTCTTACGGGTTTGGAACGACATGAGGCTGAGTAAATAATGCCAGAATTGTCCCTTTAATGTTGAGATGCAAAACACAATTTTGTATGATTTTAATTTTATATATTTTTTTACATTTTATTTTAAGAAATTTTTTTTAAAATTTTTTTTATTGTGCTTTGATGATAAGCTTTCACAAAGTCTGCGTTTTGCTTTTAGGATTATTGGTTTGACTAAACAGCAAGCGGCGCTCATCTAAAAGCACCCCCATTTTCACCAGCTCATCTTTCAGGATGGGACGGGCATGTCGTGACACGTATACCTTCTCTAGATGGGAGGCCATCGGAGAGCCCACGTAATCTGTGCATGAGGAGCCAGCTAAACTAGGACCACAAGTTACAGACGTCTTGTAGTACAGCAAACCATGGTTAAGTTGACAGAATTCTTCTTTTATGCCGGCTTTCAGTTGTATGTTGCACGCCCCCAGGAGGTCATCGTCCCACTTGTTGTCCCTATCCCACACTTCTAGTCTCAGCCCCCCAAACTGAGAGAGAACGAAACTGCCGAGATCAAACTTCCAGTTCCAGGTTGGTGAGTTTTGGTTCCAAATCACTGCTGTTTCCCCTAGAAAGACCTTATGATTTCTCAGGACCTTGACATACCCATCGGTCTGTGAGAAGTAATCTCCCCACAGACCTGTCGCCTTCATCACAGTTACACTAATCTGAGCGAGTCCACGCTGTGCAGGGCAGCAGTTTGCTTTTACTCCAGGGTTGTTATGACAGCTGCACACACAGGGCTCTTTGGGGTTAGTTGCGATACCGGCCTTGCAAGGTGTAGAGCAGTTCTTCAAAAGGGCACTCTGCAGTATGTAGTCACGAATGGCTCGGCATAACTGCTCATGTTTTGGGTTCTTGACTGGCAGCAACATATGGAGGGGCTTCAGTGAAAAGGAAATCATGTCTGGTTTTTCTGGCACTGTGGAGAGCCACTGATTGAAAGCACCAGGGTCATTACTGGCTGAGAAGAGAAGCGCTGTGTCTTGAGCGTGGCCACCCATGATTTCAGTTAACCTTGTGAAAAAAAAAGAAAATAAAGCTTGAACCCTTCCCCCAATAATAATGATGATAATAACATACACTTGTTGTATTTTTGTCTTTTATATTATATTATATGTGACCCTGGAGCACAAAACCAGTCTTAAGTTGCTGGGGTATATTTGTAGCAATAGCCAAAAATACAGTGTATGGGTCAAAATTATTGATTTTTCTTTTATGCCAAAAATCATTAGGATATTATATGTAAAGATCATGTTCCATTAAGATATTTTGTAAATTTCCTACCGTAAATATATTAAAACTTAATTTTTGATTAGTAATATGCATTGCTAAGAACTTCATTTGGACAACTTTAAAGATGATTTTCTCAATATTTAGATTTTTTTTCTATTAAAAATATTAAACTATGAATCCCACAAAATTTTAACATTTATTAAATTTCATTTATTAAAATTTAGATTCGCCCCAATTAAATGTATTTATTAAATATTAAAATATTATCCTTATTATTACAAGTATAATTTTAATTACATGATATAATATAAAAACTTAATACAAAAAATAAACCATAAATAAAAATGTATTTATTATATTATAAATAATATAAATTAAAATATACATTTAAAAATATTAAATAAAAAAATGATTTAAAAAACTATTATAAATTATACACACACACACACACAAACAAAACTAATATTTATATCAGGCTATATTGTTTAGCCATTTTTAACTAATAATTTAGCTGATAATTCAGTTAAATCACATTCTGCCAAGTCAGCACAAACCTGTCAGTAAAACTGTTAGCAAAACTGTGCGTGCTCAGTCTGTTGTCTTTGCTCTGTTTGCAGTGACTGTATGCAGTGTCTATGCTGATCCTCCCCATTACACTTGCAGATGCCTCGACGTCCAGACATGCTTTGACCTCATCCATACTGAGGTCCTGTAGAGTAGCCATGCATTGTTTGACACTGGTCACAGATTGCACTGTTCCACCGAGTTTCACCTAACAGATTACAAGCAACAGTGACATATATGCGATATACTGAGAGAAATAGCACACATTGATATTGATATATTTTGGCTTACCTGGACAATGTAATGTGTGCCAAACTTTTCAACAAGTGACAAGTAGCTTTCTTTTGTTTGGTTGTCATACGTCTCTGGAAGCCTTTTGAATTCATAGCTTAGCTCGTGATGAAGAGGAGAGCGGCTGCTAATGCTGTATCTGAAGACAGCAGTTTATAGTGCTGCACATCAAAACCCATATACCATGATATTCATCACAGGAGTTAACTAATATACTGTATGTTAAGTCTTACCCGTAGTATCCGCAGGATGTAGACTGCTTGATGAAGCTGAACTTGTCCTTTTTGGTCTTTGTCATTGAATACTCAGCGAGTTTGGAGTTCGTTCCAGCCAACATCAGCGACATCTTACTAACCGCGTTGCCTATTCCCAGGCCGGCTTTCCAGTTGTTCTCTACGGAGGAGGTGCTGGAACTGACCAGGGACTCGCTGGACTCATAAATGGAGCTGGATAATGACCTTTTGCATTTTTGGGTGGCCCTCCAGTAAATCACAGACACCGGGAGCTTCTGCTTTTTGTTCTGCATGAATGGGTTTTTGCACAAGTTACACGTGTTATTCTTGAGCTCCCACTTACTCATGTCGATGACAAAAGTCCCCAGGCGTTGCATCTTAGTTATGTCGAAACCCTCTCCAGCCAAGTCAGATCCTGGCACGAAATTTGCATCTTGACACTCTGCTTCTTTACCCAGAAAGCATGCCGGGCTGGTTGGAGGAGGAAGGCACAGAAGAAGCCCACACCACAGGATAACTAGAGGAATCATTGCGAGTTTGGGTGTTATCCTGCTGTGATATACATAGATCAGAAATGAGGTTAAAAAAATCTGATTAGTAGATAGATTCCTCGGTGCAAATGTTAATATGTAAAGTTCTTTGCTCATATATTGGTTCTAATCCAAATCTTTGTGCAGGATTTGATTGGTATATCCTAGACCCTTCCTTATGTAGAAACGTACTAATCATGAAATAAGTTTGAATGTTTTCAGAATTAATCATTTTAGAGGCATGGTAGATTTTAGCAGTTTAGCTTTCACTATGATATTGTTCCCATGCAAAATCGCTAGAATAGTATTAATGCTGTTAGTGCTTCAGCATCATCAATTCGTTTTTTACAGGAGCAGATTTTAGTGTCAAAAAATAGCTTGAAGATATTAGGTATTATTATCAGTCAATAAACTCTGATTCACAATTGAGTGAGTGAGTTTTTAGGCTCTTTTTCACTTACCTGCAAGGTCTTTTTTAATCATAATCTGAGAGTGCCCAACACAGACTGAGAAGTACCTGTTCTGTGCTCATATTTATGTCCTACATGTGTCCCACCGCTGCAATGGACAGGTACAAGAACATTCACACTTAGATGGTCACTGACTCATCATGTGTGCAAAAATGAGTAAAAGGATTGAATGTATCAAAAGGTGTTGCTTGACATCAAGGGATGTGGTTTAAATTCCGCAAAACAGACCACAAAAAAAAAAGACTCATTATCTTTTTTAAGTGCCTATACAAGAATTTGAATAAAAGTTGATATGCAATGAATCTCCAACACAGAAATGGAGACATTCACATAATTATATGCAAAATTGAACGACCTGAAAAGCAAGCTTTGTAGAAATCAAACTCTAAACATAGATGTTTGACACTTAAAACAGCCCTTACAGGATGAAAGTTATTTTACTCGTTTTTAAAGCTTTACATTTTTTAGCATGAGTGTTGCTGATTCAGATCTGTAAATAATGCAAACAGTATGTTGATGCATGCACAATGCATGAGTTTAAGCTAAAATGAATGTATAAGGCAAACTGTGTATCTTAGGTCACGTAACTTCACTTAAGTTTTTTTTTTTAACCATTTTGAACATTATCACCTCAGTTCACTAGTTTGTTTTAAATTAAGTATAAAAAATACAACGACTTGTTTGCAGATTTAAACAAAGGTCACAGGCCCAGATGCAGATAAACTTGTCATCGTATGACTGTGGTCTGCATGGTTTGGTGTAGGCATCATGACTCATAAAACAACTAAATTTTCACATAGTGGTTGGAAATTTTAATGTAGACTTGTGGTGTATATGTTATCTTGTGCTGCGTAGTCACATGGGTGTTAAGATACTAAACAATTGAAAGATTTTAACCTGCATACATTATAGTCATTGTTGGGAAGGTTATTTTGGAAATGTAATAGGTAACAGATTACATGTTACTCTATTTAAAATGTAATAAGTAGTGTAACTATTTCAATTACTTTATTAAAGTCATGTAACTAATTACATTTAATTATTTTTTTGATTACTTTTGTAAATAATGAATGTTTTCAACTGTAAATCATTTTAAAACATTGAAAGCAGGCTTGGTTAACCTTATACAATCTTCAAAAATAAAGCATGTACATAATCCCAAATAGGAAATAAAACAGTTATCGAATAATCATGTGTCCTATTCTGTGTCCTAAACTCCTGAAACATTGGTGTCTCATATTTTAGAGCAGTCGATGCAATTTGGGAAAGGAATTAAATTAAATCTGTGTACAGCATGTGTGTGAAAAATATTCAGATGTAACTCCCTTTGTAATTGTTAACATTTTCAAAAGTAACTGTAATTTAATTACACATTTTTCTCAGTAACTGTAACAGATTACAGTTACACTTATTTTATAATTAAATTGCGTAATTCCATTACATGTAGCCTAGCTAGTTACTCCCCAACACTGATTATAGTCTGTACTGTTGCATGGTGCTAAAATAACTGTGCAAGGAAACAAAATACAGTAGATGAATGAACTCTTTACAAAACAACGTAAGGCTTAAGCATGTGAACAGCTTTATGTTACTGAATCTTTTATCCAATAAAACAGATTTAGCCTATGCAAAAAATGATTTCCATTTACACAAAGATTTAATTATAAAGAATAATACAGAAATATTTGCACCACAAATAAATAATCATTATGCCATCTGCCAACCTCTATTTATAGTTGACGTGCTGCAGTTTGAGACAGGGGTCCACAGAGAGCCTCATACTTGTAATATTGGCTTTACGTTTTAGTGATGGGAAGTCCGACTCAATTCTGCGAATCGGTTCTTTTGAACCGTTCGTTTCAAAGAACCGGTTAAAATCAGCGATTAGCCTATCTTACGTCATCATCATGTGGTTTCTGGCATCCATGCGAGGTAACATGTTTAATAAAGGCATGTGTAGGTGTAAATTGCTGTTCATTACGCTTTTCGACTGTGTTTAATTAATGTTGGTAGCCTATTTAATGTCTCCCAATTCAGCTGCAGACATGATCCGCAATTTAAACTAAAATTCAAGAATCTAAATATAATTTGCATTTACAATGAACTTATATACGCTACTAAAATTCATGTAGGCCTAAATGTCTTGGCTGAATTTTAATAAAGGCCTACAGTAAACTGTCCTGGGCCTACAAGTCATAGCTAAACGTCCAGTAGCCTACGTCGTAACGTTTGTTTATTTGTTTTATTCATTTAAAGTAATTTTTCGCAGGCTCATTGCAAATCGGACAAGAGCCGATTCTCGATAAGATTAACTCGGACTGATTCAGTTCGATTAATAAGCGAATCATTAGTTCGATTTATAAACGATTCGTTCAAACTCGGTTTTGTTCAACACATTCATTGGAAAGATCCGACTCGTTCTGAATCGGACATCGCTACTTTTGAGCTATCATTATAAAGAATACTATCATAATATAAGATAGCCTACAATGACTGTCAAATAGACTATTATGTAATTTTGATATTAGGCTACATTCTATATTGTAATAGAAAAAATATCTAAAAAGCACAAATTTAATCGCTCCTGAGTCCTGTCCTCGCACACCCCCGGCTCGTCCCAGTTGGTCCAGACTGGATTAGAGCGCTGCAGCATCAGCGGATGATCAGGAGTGAAGGCCGGGCCGCTGCGCCCCTCCACCAGCCGCATGCTCCCGCACACCGGCACCAGTCAGCTCGTGAGAAATGCGCCGGGGAATGTAGGGGATATTAACCTTTCTTTGGCATAGCCGCTTATCAGAAACGGATCTCCTCAGCAAAGCGCGCGTTTAAAACTCTGCTGGCTGAAATCACTGCAAGCTAGCAGCAACATCACTTGGCAGCACAGGGGAGACGTGCTCCTGTGAGCGGAGCACCGCACATTCCTCCGTTCGCTGGAAGACAAATGCCAAGCCTCCGGATGGAGATATTTTAGACGGAGCATGGGGGGTCGCGGGAATGCGTGTGCCGCTGTTTGGGAAAACCGGTTGTGATGTTTAACCGCTGCTAAAACGTTGACTGTGAAGCTCGTGTGCTTTTGCAGTCAGCACAATAAAGGTGACGGCAGCTAGCCCGTTAGCTCGCGAGCTATCCGGTTAGTGTGAGACGGGGAACAGAAATCGCACCGAGTGCGTTTGACATCGAAATATCGTTATTGATTAAATGAAAAAGGAGAGCACACGATAAGCGTGTGCTCTTTTTCTTTGCACTGTGCACTTAATGGATAACAGTGCTCGTCGCTGACAAGGAGCAGATGCCAGGAGATGCTTGATACATTCTGGGGGGAAAACTTGACACATCTATCTATAATATTGCATATCAAACTCGGGTGCTTTTTTAATCAGCTGAATATTTTACTATTAACCCCCTAAACCCCGTGGGATGTCATATCGATTTTGGCACTGTACTGCATATTAGTGACTACTTATGGTCGGTGCCAAGCAATATTGTCGTATCATCACTATATTAAGCGCATACTTGTATTTGTTTAGAGAAAAATACACCTGCTTCGTTCAGCTCCAGTAAATGAGTCTTTTGTATCAGTTTCTTGCAACACACGGGTCTCACAGTCAGAGCGCTGGTAGCTTAAAAATCAGAGTGGATGCCAAAGCTCCGGACGGACAGATGATGATGATGGTGATGATTCACTCTACGGGGATATGAGGAAGTTACAACCGAGCACACGGCTTCGCGTTCAAGAAACCCCTGCTGTTCCCGATGGTGAAATTAGCCGGCGGCTGTTTGATGAGCAGCAAACGAAAGCCACCTTTCCTCGGGTCACCTCTGAAGTCGAGCTGACAGAAGCTGGTGGGGTTTGTGTGAAAGGCTGGAGCAGGGTGTGACCGCACTTCGTTTAAATGTTACATGCAGCACTGTATATATCAGCGAAGCTCACTATGAACGCAGCCTGGAATTTCTACGTCAATCCATGTGGATGACGCCGCCGTCGCCAACGTTCCAAAACAAAACGTCGCCGAGGCAAAAGTTGCTTTTTAAAATTGTTTGTCTCGGCTAAAGAGCAGCAGGTCTGTTAGCCATGTAGCTGGCTGCACTTGACCGGACTGCACTTCTCCGACTAATGTCTAGGGTGTCGGGTCTTTTTTTAGTATGTGTTGTGCGTGTAAGTGTAGATGTATAGCGTAGCTATTTTAACGTCGTCGTCGTGACTGTTTCTGGTTGCTATGGCATTTTTAAACGGCCCCAGACTGCTGGACTGGGCAAACTCTCCTCCACATTTACAGTTCAACAAATATGTCCTGACTGGCTATAGACCTATCTCCTCCGTCCAGGAGTGCGTCAAGAGTCTCTTCTATCTGCACAATGAGCTGGGGAACATCTACACACACGGTGAGCGAGAGAGCCTACTGCTTCAAAAGAGGAAGCTGACAGTGCCCTCTCTCTTTATTACGCTTATTACATGCTTTACTTTTTGTCATTGTTTTTATTTTTTTAACCAATAATTCTAATGAATTGAATTAGTATTAATAAATTGCA